GTTTGTAGCATTTGTAAGTAACTCGTGGACATTTCTTACTTATCGCGGATTCGTCGCTAACCAACTTAATTCCTATGGTAATTTAGCGAAGAGTTGCGCCACCGTATCTGAATGAATCCTTGAATTTATTTTATTTCATCTTGACGTTTCAAGTGAATGGCTGTTGCTTGATATCCCCGGTGTGACTGCGCTTGATGTGCATGTTGACAAGGTGCCTACCTGTCCATTACCCACTACCTCGTCCATACTGGCTGTTATAATCTTCGCACTTAGCGCAACTCCAAAAATAACAATTCACTGCTCCACAAAACTTCTAGCCCAACCGAAGGAAGAAAGCAAAATGCCAGTGACCCTGACAGATAACGTATTAATCGCAGCCGACGAACACTGTACAACAACTGCGGACCTTGGCTGTATTTATAGGTCTCTACTGACCTTCGACTTCTAGAATTGGAAGGTCAGCTGCCAAGGTTAGTGGTTCCCCATATCTTTTGCCGAGAGGTCAGGTGGATTTTGATCACGTGTAGAAGAAGAACATTCAGGAACGTTCGAAGTCGATGCGCTAATCGTTAATAATCGATTAATCGCTAAAATAGGGAATTTCCAAGGCAATGCTTACTTTCTCCCGGACAGTGGCTCCAGGAGACAGTTGCTCGTTGCTGGAGGGGCCCCGGTGCACGGTCCTTGTGGTCGTGTTAGGAACAAAGAGTGGCTGGCTTGCCGAACAACCTCCTCGTGGTGCCAGCTGGGTGGTTCGGGATCATCCTGTTCCAGCGAATGGTTCAGCGGCAGTGTTCCAGGACGTGGTGGGTTTTCGCCTGGCAAGCGTTCTCCCTATAAAAAGCCACATATGTCCGCTTAACAACACTGTGACGTGACGGATGTGACTCGCCACTAAATAAAGTCACTGCCCCTTGCCTCTCTCTGAGTGGCATTGTAATTCAAGGGTGCATTGGGCCCCTGGTCCTATGCGGTCCTAAAGGCGTATGAACCATTTGTTTGGCCACCGGCTCCCAACGGGTTGCGATACCCTCATATCGCCCTGCTGCCTTGTAGGTTGGATCCTTGATCAAAGGCTCGGGGTGGGGCCCCCTAAGACAACCCTCTACTTCGGCCTGGGCAACCGGGTAGTATCTCGCCCACTGACGAACCATGGACTTACAACACAACCTTTCACCCGCTGTCTTGCTGTTACCATGCTATCCACTCATGTTACTATGCCAACTGCACAAGCACACGCCACCATTTTACCTACTCTTCCCGTGTCCCATTCACACCCATTTTTACCTGATTCCTCTACAACGATCAATCCCACCTACACTGATGAACCTGTTCCCGTGACATCTGCCAACTCAACCACACAGTACTCAACAGAGAGTTGCCGGCCCCAAAGTCGCCTATCTTCGCTCCTGAAACCCGGAACGCAGTTCAAACTTGCAGCTTTTAACGTACGCACATTACTGCAGATCGGTCAGCAAGCTGGAGTTGCACGCACGCTAGAGACCCTTGGAATTGATATCTGCTGCCTGACTGAAACACGACTCTAGGACTCTAACTCGGTCTACCAGCTGGTGTCACCGCTCCATCCACGCACCCGGTTCCATCTCCGCCTCTCTGGTGACGCCGAGTCTGCCGCATCTGGGCAAGCTGGTGTTGGAATCGCCCTCAGCGCTAGAGCCGAGACTGCTTTGATTGATTGGATTCCGATCAATAGCCGCCTTTGTGCGATGAGGCTTCATGGCTCTTGTAAGGTCAGCAGATGTCGAGTCGAAAAGCGTGCTCTCTTCGTGATCTCTGCCTACGCGCCCACTGACTGTAGCTCAGACATCGTCAAAGACCAGTTCTACCAGAACCTTCATGAGCTGCTCCTAAGGGCTCCTAAAACAGACATCATTATTTTGGCAGGTGACTTCAACGCGCGTGTCGGTCGTCTGCTGCCATGTGAGCGCCCCCTCGGAGGACCGCATGGATATGATGATGTTCGCTCAGACAATGGAGAGAGATTGCTCAGTCTTTGTGAAGATCATCAACTATTCCTCTCCAGCACCAGCTTTCGTCATCCTGGACGCCAGTACGCCACTTGGCGCCCCCCATCATCAACCCAGCGCTGGTCACAGATTGACCACATAGCTATAAGTCGCAGGTGGCGCGGCAGTGTACGCGACTGCCGATCATTTTGGTCAACATGCGTCGACTCCGATCATGCACTGGTGTGTGCGACCGTTTGCATGCGTTTTGGTGGTTCGCCTAGGTCAAAACACACCCGACTGAACGCCTACAAGTTGGAGGACCCAATGGTGAAGAGAGATTATCAACAAAACCTTCGCGAAAAGCTCCCTCTCTCTCACACTCTGGATGTTGATCAACACTGGTCAAGTCTCCAGCAAGCCTTATTGTCGGCCGGTTTGTCCAGCTGTGGCCTCACTCGCTCCACTCCCAAATGCTGGATCTCGGGAAGATCATCAGAATTGCTGGATCGTCGACGGGCGGTGCCTTCTGGCGCAGAGTACAACGAACACCGCTGGTCTATTACGCAACAGCTGAAAGCAAGCCTTCGCTCTGATCGTGAATCTTGGTGGTCAAAACAAGCTGGTGAGATGGAAGCCGCTGCATCAGCTGGCAACTTCCGCCGTCTGTTTTACATCATCAGGGCCACTGGTTGCAATTTCCACGCTATCAGCCAGACGATTTGCGAGGCAGACGGCACGAAGATCACCAACCTTCGCAGACGATTGGGTCGCTGGACAGAGCATTTCGCTCTTCAATTCAACCACCCAACACAGTCCCCTGCGACACCTCCAGCCCCAATGTATGATGCTTGGCCTGTCTCCACAGCCCCCCCAAATGAAGCAGAGATTCAAAATGTAGTCCAATCTTTGAAACGCCACAAAGCTTCGGGTCCCGACAATCTACCACCAGCTCTATTCTAAGATGGTGGGAGTGCACTTATCAGCGAAATCCTATCGCTGTTCACGAAAGTTTGAACTGAGGAGAAGGTTCCGAGCTCATGGGGAGAATCGGTCATTGTCCCGATTCACAAGAAGGGTTCCCGCGATGATTGCTGCAACTACCGCGGAATCTCCCTAATCTCTGTCGCATCCAAAATCTTCGTGTCGGTCCTACTTGGCAGGCTTTCAACGACTAGAGAGGAGTTTTCCCGAGAAGAACAAGCTGGATTTCGTCCAGGCCGTGGCTGCATCGACCAAATCTTCACGCTTCGGCAAGTTCTCGAACTTCGTCACATCCACCGGCGGCCAACAATCGTAGTGTTTTTGGACATCCGAGCGGCATTTGATTCAGTAGATAGATCTGCGTTGTGGAACTGTTTACTGAAGAAAGGTGTGCCCGAATAGTTTGTAACCATCCTGAAAGTACTTTACAGTCACACGTCGGGCAAAGTTAGGGCTTACGGCACGCACTCCTCTTCATTCGCTGTGACCAGCGGTGTTCGCCAAGGTTGCCCTATTTCACCTTTCCTCTTCAATTTCGCCATCGAAGATGTTCTCCAAAGAGCACTGGAAGGTGTCCAGGACTGCGGTGTTGAGCTTCTCCCTGGAGACAGACTCACGGACTTGGACTACGCCGATGATATCGCCTTGCTGGGGGACGACCCACAATCCGTCCAGAACGCTCTGGACCGCTTGGCGATGGAGGCGTCTAAGTACGTCCTGTGCTTCACTCCGGGAAAATGTAAAACGCTGCTCCAGGATTGGCAGGTGCCTGAAACCGCGCTCACCATTGCTGGACATGTTCTGGAGCAAGTCCCTTGCTTCACTTACCTAGGGAGTTGCATCACGGCTGGTGGCGGTGTCGGAGATGAAGTCTCACAACGGATTGCAAAGGCCCGTCTTGCATTCATCAAACTGAGACATCTATGGTGTCGTCGTGATGTCACTCTCAAGCTCAAGGGCAGGGTGTACAATGCTTCCGTCCGTGCAGTACTCTTGTACGGCTGTGAGACTTGGCCTATTCGCTCGGAAGATATGAAGCGGCTATCAGTCTTTGATAATCGCTGTCTACGAAGGATTGCTAGGGTGTGGTGGCAACACCCCGTAAGCAACGCAGAGGTGAGAGACCGCGTGCTTGGGGCGAATAGTGCCAGTCTTCAAGACGTTATTCTCCGACATCGCATGCGCTGGCTCGGGCATGTTCTGCGCATGCCAGCCCATCGCCTTCCACGTCGAGCGCTATTTGCACTCCCAGGGAGCGATTGGAAAAGTGCCGCGGTGGACAGCCGATGACGTGGAGAAGGAGTATGAAGAAGGCGACCTCAAGTTTGGCAGCAGTCGGATCAGTCCGTCTTCCAGGTTGGGGACCAAGAGATGCTGAATCTCAGTGGTTGGAAACATTGGACGTCATGGCCCGCAACAGACATCAGTGGCGGCAATGTTGTTCCGCAATTTCAACATCCCTTTGATACACACAAAAGACCACAAAACAAAACAAAAATACAAAATGGCGTGTGTAAAACCAAAAAAAAATTCGTTTCCCATATTTTTTAATCGCATTAGTGTCCCCATCTTCTTCACCTTTTTCTTCTGCCATGGTTCTGATGGCACAATGTCTGTTAACAGACTGTGAATAAATAAATAAATAAATATATATATATATATATATATATATATATATATATATATATATATATATCCATGCAGTCAGTATGGAGCGGACTACGGTCCAGCCACAGTCTTGTGTGCGCTTGATTCCCCAAATACAGCGTGCTTGTCTTTGCCTGTGAAGGAGTGTGGGCTGGCTCCGTTGACGAAACGTGGCTCCCATCCACATGCCTCCCAGTAGTATTCCTTCGGGTTTACACTGGATATGGGGTGTGTGACTGGAGCTGTGGGAGGTGTAGCTCAAGACATCCGTGGTCCCTCTGTAGACTCAGGCGTTCTGTGGCTGGCCACAGTGACAGGCTAATCCGAAACCGTATGCGCCAATCATATATCTATGTAAACATATATAGTTTATTATCCGGGTATTATAACAAATTTTTGTGACTTTTCGTTAACCAATTTTAACGCTACGACTTCCAAATCTTTTCAGTAATTTAGTATCAGTGGTCTCTTAAGTTTGTTGTAATATTTCTGTGTTCTTCCTCTTGTAATATCTCAAGTAACATAGGGGTTTTGAGGTTCCGTCTTCATACTACCTTGAAGTGTTCACAGTAAGGCGGTTGGTTACACCTCTGGTTGGTTAGCTCTTGCGATAAGGTGGACAGTGATAGCCGATACAGTGTATCTGCTAGAATCGACCGAAAGATAAACAATCTGCTTAATATGAACCGTAGTCTGCGTCTTATCGTTTACCGTTCTTGGACTTTTCTCTGTCTGGTGTGTTAACGCTGCGCACATCACGTGACTGCTGTTCGGACATTTGAATCGATCACTGTTTCCATTGCATGTGACCAAGTGCGTCTGTCACTGCAGCTGAAATTCGCGGTCAGATTACAGACGATCATGCCTCAGCGGTATATGTCTGCCAGCAAACCTAGCCCAAAATTAGGGAAAGATAAGAACTCGGTGAAAATCCGCAGAACGCGTCGCCGACAGACTACATTAAAACCTTTACCGGAAGTATGCGAGAAAGTCCCTCAGACTCCCTTGTACATATTTAATCCTGAAGACGGTTGTCGTAACTGCTGTCCCATCCGGCGTAGAGCATTAACTGAAAGATTGCTTAAATGCATGAACGTAAAGGAGACAGCATCAGTGCACTCGAATACATCTTTATTGACTGGTTGGCCTTCTGATATGATCAAGTTTACCCTCTGTTTGCCAAGCAAACAGGTTGTATCAGCATCAAATAAGAAGACAAGAAGAGACAAGAGGAACAACAGAGATAGCTACACAGGGAATAATTACAAGTTTATGACAACTTTCAAGCATTTAGACAACCCAGATGACTACATCGTTCAATATCGATTATCCAAATTTCCAAAACCTTCCAATAATCCGGGTCTAACACCAGTAACTCCAATCACAAACCTTTGTAGAAATGCCAAAGTCAGCATTAAGAACAAGTAAGTCTTAGTTACACGTTTGTTTATTAAATAACTCGTCAGTCCAACTGCTTCCCGATTCCAGTGGTTGAAAGGTGTTTCAAAAACTGTACAGTCCAGGTAAGCTAATGGGAATTTTAGGGTGCATTTTCACTCAGATTAGCCGCAGGTAACCGAGATACCGGCCTCACTCAGGAAGGCCTGCGACGTTCCAATCAGGTGATGACTGGAAAACGGAAATCATTTGAAAACTTGATGTCGTACGTAGGTCACCGGCGCTTGACTGTGCTTTAATTCAGTCCTGATATGCAGCGAATGGCGGCATCAGTAGCCGATCACATCAAGGGAATTGGAATCATCCTGAGTTCCTCTTTTATGGAAAATCGACGCACAATAACGATCCAAGATCGTTTTAAATCTGTCGAAAGCGAAAACGTTCAGTTAAATAATGGACACACACCTGAATGCGGCGACACTTTGTGGATTGTCAGTGGCACTTCAGTTAATAAATGATCCTATGTTGTTTTGCTTCATGGCCTACACGATAGCAAGGCAGATGAATGCGAAGTCATTGTTACAATAGTCACTTGTCTTCTAGTTTCAGCTCACACACAGTCGCAGGACGTCGCTCCAATCCAGTCGACAAGTCCATGTTCAACCAAGCTGACAACGTCAGTTCCTCCGTTTCCCTTTGGAGTCCTCGTGTCTCGCTAAGACTGGCATGCCTGAACGTGCGCACTTTGCTGCAGGTTGGCCAACAGGCAGCACTTGCGCATATACTAGAGACCATATCGATCGATATTTGCTGTTTATCAGAAACCGGCCTGCAAGCTTCGAGCCCTATGCTTACTCTGCGATCCCTCATAAGAGACGCTGGCGGCACATTCTCATTGCGCCTGTCTGGCGATGACGCCGCTTCAAATACAGGTCAAGCTGTGGTTGGCAGTTTTAAGTCCTCGGGGGGAAGATGCCCTGATCCACTGGATCATTGTCAACAGCCGGATGTGCGCCGTTAGGTCGGCTTGCTCGTTCCAGGCTTCGTTGTTCCGCGGGGACAATCAGTGCCTGTTTGTTATTGCGGCTTACGTCTTCACAAACAGCAACCCTGGTTCGGGGAAATATCATTGGTATCATCAACTTAACGATCTCTTCGATACAGAAGAAGCACGATACTATGGTGTTGGCTGGCGATCTAAATGCCCAAGTCGGAAAATTTTCCTCTGATGGGTTTCATCTGGGCGGCCGATATGGTGTAGGCTCCTGTAATGATAACGGTGCGAGATTGTAACAGGTATGTGAAGATGCTCGACTCTTTCTCGCAAGCACAAATTTTTGTCACAGCACTCGCAGAAGCGTGACTTGGCGCCCACCAGCTTCGCACCAACAATGGACGCAAATCGATCATATCGCGATCATTTACCGCTGGAAAGGCTGCGTCCAAAACTGTCGCTCGATTTGGAGCACGAGTGTGGACTCCGACCACGCACTTGTTTGCACCGACCTCCGGGTGCGTTTCGGTGGACGTCCGCACCGTCGATGTCAACGGATTGACACCAGCCAGCTGGCGAAGCCAGGTGTTCTGAGTGTGTATCAAAGTGCGCTGACATCCGGGCTGAGTAAGCGCCCACTGAACACCGTCGAAGATCACTGGTCGCATATTCATCAAACGCTACTATCAGCAGGCATATTTTCATGTGGCAAATCAAATTGCCAAACTGGACATTGGGTGGCTACACAGGCTCTAAAACTTATGGATGCTCGCCGACGTATTCCGGCTGGAAGCTAATGCAATGAGACCGGCAAAATCGCAGGGCAAAAATGCGTGCTAGCCTGAAGAGAGACCGCGAAGCCTGGTGGTCTCATTGGGCCTCTGAGATGGAAACAGCCGCTGCCATTCGCAATTACCATAAGTTATTCCATCTGATACTGGAAATAGGCAGCAGGAAACTTGGTGTTATCGAGACAATACGTGACGAGAATGGGCAGCCGATCCACAGCTTGTCAAAACGCTTGGAGCATTGGTCCGGACAGTTTGCAAGGCAATTTAACCAAACTAATTAATCGCTTTCATTTACGGGCATTGATCGCCCTTCTCCATGGGACGTCTCCTTGGATCCGCCCTCACGCACCGAAGTCGAACGTGAGATCAGCCTATTGAAATTGCATAAGGCCGTAGGGGCAGATAGAATTCGCCCAGCCCTCTTCCAATTCGGGGGACCTGCTCTAGTATATGATTTACTCTAGTTGCTAGTGAAACTTTGATAGTAGATTCTCCCGTTAGCACATACACATTATACACGTTAGCTAGAAGTGTAAAACACCTCAGCTCCTGTGCTGTAATAATTAACAGAAAAAAATAAAATGCAACATTTGCATGCCAGCTGAGCTACCAGCAACGGATGGGCACCGTTCCGGAAAGCTACCAACCGGCTACTAGGCAACAAGAAAAATTTTCATGTTAGATTAAATTATGCTACGAAATAAGGTCGTGATTGGAGGGGGAGGCTAAAAGGGATGGGAAAGGACAAAGAAACTCACAGCACGAAAGCCACTGAGGTCGGCTCCTAGCCATGTCAGCAAGTGCATCTAGACAACCGTGTTTATCCTCCTTTGGACCCCAACCAGGCAGCCGTGAAGCTCCAACCGAGGCCAGCTTCGAAATGTAGGCCTTCATTCCTCTCGAGCAAGTCATCGCTTGGCCACCTCTTCTTTTCTTCCGTTCACACCCCCGGTGCGCAAACAACGCACGCCGCGGGAGTCGGTAGGCTAGCATGCACAATACGTGGTCGAACCATCGGAGGCTGATGCGTGAAATAATGGTACCGAGCAGTACATTTCCTTCTCCTTTGCTGGAAACAAGGCATCGAACAAGGTCGTTGCTAACGCGGTGTTCCCACCAGGTGTTAGCCAAACTACGAAGGCACCGATGGTCGAAAGTAACTAGCCTGTTTATGTCCGCTGAGCTAAGGGGCCAGGTTTCGCAACCGTACAGCGGGGTCGAACGTACCGCTACATTTTACGCTCTACGCTTCAGAGCAAGAGTGATGTAGCGCCGGCGCCATAAGTGACAAAGACTAGAAAAAGCACTTCGAGATTTTGCTATACAATTTGTGATCTCATCTTCAATCCCAAGTGCCCTGATACAACTTCCTGGGTAGTTGACTTTCTGAACGAATTCTTGGCGATCCATGCCAAGGGTAAGCGCAGGAGGTGATCCCTGCCAATCTTGTAAGAAAGCTTTGCACTTCGATGGTGCAAAGTAAAGTCCGAATCAGCTGACAGCCAGTGCTAATCACCCCAGTGAAGCTTGGCACGTCTGTGAGCTGCCACAGATGAGGGCAATGTTGTCTGCATACTCCAAGTCAAGAAGTCGTTCTCCTGGGAGTAGCTCCACACCTTCTAAATCGTGTCCAGCGAATGCTGTTTCCATGACTTCGTCAACTGCAAAGTTAGATAGGAAAGGTGACAGCGGTCAACCTTTTCTCACTCCGATGGAGATACTGCAAGTTGGTGACAGTTTGCCAAAAACCCACACTCTGCGCGAAATATGCGCGTACAGCTCTTTAATAATGTTTACATATTTTTAAGGCACACCTTTCCTCAGCAGACAGTCCAAAAGGGCACATCGGTCGACTGAGTCGAAGGCAGCTTTTATGTCAAGAATCACGACAAAAGTGGGGCGCAAATTAACATGGCGGGGATCCAACAATTGACGCAAGGTGAAGAGGTGGTCGATGCGGCCCCGACTTCGAGGAAACCCGACTTGCTCTTCAACAATCTGGCTTTCACCAGCGCCCCGTCGCAACGAGACTGGACCTTAACGTGGTGCGACGGTTTGTGTACCACAATGACCCATTGAGCTATACTGGGTGATGCCTCCGGGCATCTTGAGAGTTACTCTTACCAGGTTGCTCAATGGTGAGAGGTCAGACAAACAGTCTCCTGGTCCTCCAAGTTTGGGGGTTTGAAATGGGATGGCGTCCATTTCTGTAAAACTAAATCACTGCCATCCCGCTGCCTTGCGGACAGGCTTTTGAACCAAAGGCTTTGGATGAGGACCCTAATCGTCCTCCTGTCTAGGTCTGGGCGCCCTGGCAGTATCTCATCCCACATACAATCAGGATATCTTCTTCCTACATAAACTACATCCTGCATCCGCCGTCGCGCAGACTATCAAGAGTCGCCTTATCTGCTGCATACAGCAGGGCGGATAAGCGAAAACATGCTACTGCTGGCGCCTCCCTTCTTTCTTTTCCACCTGTCTCTCTTACTCCCATCCCGACCCCCATTACTAACCTTCCTTCTATAATTCCCAGCTTAATTGACAGCAATCGAAGTGCCACTGGATTAGAACCATCTGCAGCCACCATCGCACCGCACCTATCAGAAGCCTATCGGCAAACGTCCCTTATAAGGCCACGCTATCCCGTTTCCATGGCGACATTCAACGCTCGCACTCTAAGACAAACAGGTCAACAGGCTGCACTCGCACGCACCTTGGACACACTGGGTATTGATGTGTGTTGTGTGTCCGAAACTAAGATCAATGACCCTAACGGGGTTATTAAATTAACTGCACCCGGCTTATCCTCTCGTTATTGGTTGCACGTATCCGGAGACGCCGATGCAGCACTCACGGGTCAAGATGGTGTAGGTATCATACTAAGCTCAAACGCTGTGCCATCGTTGGTTGATTGGATTCCGGTGAACAGCCGTTTATGTGCAGCCCGTTTGAGGACATCATCTAAGGTTGGTTCACGAAATAGTACACAACGCTGTTTGTTTGTGATTTCCGCTTATGCTCCAAACGTTTGCAGTTCTAATGCTATCAAGGATACATTCTATCACGAACTGAGAGCGCTACTACGCATTACCACTAATTCATATACTATAGGGCTTGCAGGGGATATGAACACACAAGTAGGGCGTCTGAGTTCTTCAGTATGTCAGCTGGGTGGTAACTATGGGCTTAACTCCGAACGGACTGACAACGGTGAGCGTCTGCTGCAACTATGCGCGGGGCACCAGTTGTTTCTTAGTAGCACTGCTTGTAGACACATTGGACGCCGACGTGTCAATTGGCCTCCCCTTGTAGCTAGCCAGCGATGGACCCAAATTGACCACATGGCCATAGGTTACAGGTGGCGTGGTTCCATGCTGGATTGCCGCTGGTACTGGAATACCTGCATCCACTCTGATCATGCCTTGGTACGCTGTCCTTTCTACATGAAGTTTTCTGGGAGACGCACCAAGCGTCTCCTCCGATTGGCAACGGCAAAATTGTCTCAGCCCTCGGACAGGCAAGCCTATCAAGACGCCCTGCTTACCGAACCTTCGCTGTCTTGTCCTAGTGACACTGAGCTTCAGTGGAATAGGATCTTGGCCGCCATGCACGGCTCAAGAGCATCTGCTTGTAGCATTATCAATGGTCACCGCACCAGTCACTGAATATCCGAGAGATCGGTGAACGTGTTGGAATCTAGAAGAAACCTCCCGGTTGGCTTTGGGCACAATGTGACCAGACTGGCTATTAGGCGCGAACTAAAGCGGAGCCTAAGTGCTGACAATGAAACCTGGTGGAC